TGTATGATTTATCACTTGTCGTTATACGAAACAAGACTTAAACTGCTGTTTTTTGTTGTGTTTTGTTTTCCGTTCATCTCACTTTTGATGCCCAGCTGTTGGCTTTGGAAGAACATGCCATGTGCTTCAATGCAGACATCTTGATTCTGAGAACAGCGAATACAGGTTCTCCTACCGTGAAATATATTCCAAAAGAAATACCAACCACTGTGGAAATCGCACTTGATAGTCAAGGGTAAGAATGAAACTAGAGAGAGTCTCTTATTCAGAGGAGCTGTCAAGGGTAATGTGTTACTGTCTAGATCACGAGGTCTTGGTTTCACACCAGTACTTTGCCTGGGAACGTTTCTTTTCCCTCCAAGCCAGTCTTGTATCAGCCGATGAAAACACAACCTATACCGTCCGTTAAGTAAGTTATTTTAGTACTTTCACCCAGCTTGGAAGGAGATGACATACGTTTGTAAAGTGATTGGGTACGGCAGGTCCTATATAGCGTGTTTACTTGAAAAAGCTTCATCGCTGCACCCATTTAGAAATAAAGACTGCTTCTGTGGAAGTTCAATATCAATCTTATGCCCCATTCACACCAACTAAACTCTTTTAACTAAATCAGGTTTAGGTTTTCCCAATTTGTCGTTTACGCTTTAATTTGCAGTCATCTTGAGAAGACAAATTTCAAAGCACCTTGCTAACATATTTTAATCAAACGGGTTTTTCCCTTGTTTAGTTTCTAAGAACAATTATTGGTGCATATTACTTCAAACAGGTAAATTGAGGCTTACGTCTCAGGAAATAGATACATCAACGAAAACTCTGCTTACCTCTTCCCCTTCCCCCCCTTCCCACCCTTCCCACCTGCTCCCAGCTCAGAGGTGGGATGTCATGTGATATGAATGCAAATATCTTGGGAAGTCACGCCAGGTCTGTTTGACCAATTTGTTGGAGTTTGGGCGGGTTTGTTAGTTGAGTAAATTTATGCGACAAGGACTTCCTTGCTGGGAAATGGAATTTCGAGCACCTTTCGTGGTAGCCCCAAGGAAAAGTGAAGAGAGGGCGCTTAGAAACAGCTTACAATGATGTAATGACACAGGCGGCTCAAATATAGTTGATAGGATCTGCCTGGAAGGAATTGAAACAAAATGAATAACCCGAGCCTGGATGTTTGCTGGATGGAGGTTGTAGAGATCCAATGCCCATACAATATCTTTCTGAGATAACTTTTAACTAAATTGGCTTATTTTTCCGTGCATTTAGTATTTTTGTTTCAATCGGAAATGCACCACGAACCATGAACCTTTAATTTGGTTGGAGCAANGAGATAACTTTTAACTAAATTGGCTTATTTTTCCGTGCATTTAGTATTTTTGTTTCAATCGGAAATGCACCACGAACCATGAACCTTTAATTTGGTTGGAGCAAAGGTGAAAATCGAGGTGACTTATGTTCTACAAATATTTTGTTTTGCTGCATTTGCTTCACCAATGCAAAGGAAATATCCGAGCTCCTCTTTATAGCAGAACACGTGGAAAAAGAAAATCATGAGGTCTCAGATATTCTTGAAAAAATAAAAGACATTTTTCAATTTTCTTGTTAAAAATCCAATATTTCTCGTGGCATAATATGGGACAACTTTTCAAAAAAAAGGTTAGCGCATTAAAAATTGTTATATTGTTTTTTGCACTGGGCAACCCATTCAATTCGATGGTTTCTGCCATAACTGTCTTAAAATTTACAGGATAACTAAAAATAATAGACCTCACTTATTTAACAAGGCGTTCTTTTCTAACTAAGACTTCGGGAATTTATCCCATAACCTATCAATAAGTACTAAACATTAATCGTATCTCTTTAAAATAATTTTTTATGTTCTTAGAAATTATACATTTTGTAGTGACAACTTATTAATGCCCCTTTTTTCATTAACTGATCCCCTGTTTTTATATCTGTACACTTTAAATACTTCTACATTTAAACAGTGTTTACCAAGACAAGAAACACAGCCTGTCTTTAGTCATTAATTTTCATTTATCTCAGTTCATGTGACAGGGTCCCAAAAGGTTATGGGCTTAAAGTTTGGGGACAAAACCAAAAGGGGCTAAAAAGACACTGCTTTTATCCCGCCTCCTCCCTTTAGGACTTTGAGGAAACAATATGTTATATACAGTTTGAAACCTACTCGTTCTATCGTTTGCTGTTGAGTTTCCTCTTTAAATTGTGTATTTAGATGTGGCATTAAAAATTTCCGAACTTCAAGTGAAATGAAGCATATTGAAAAAGAAAGTATTTTCCTTCGGCAGTTAATATGATAAATGTCATCATTATCAATTGAAGGAAGAGACCATTTTTACATGTAAGCCAACTTCCGCAAAACGAGTTCTGGAGTAAACTCTTTTACCGTGGAACAAAGCTAACTAGCATGATCTAACTGAATAAAGGTTCTCAGTTCTGAAGACGATGTAGATAAATCTAAACTATAGAAACGGCCTTCTCTTCACTTCTCTGTTTAAAAACTGAAGATACATACATGTTATACTTGAGCAGGATTCAGTTAAGGCTTCGTCGAAAGCCGTTTCAACATCTAGCTCATTTGAAAGCTCTTGAAATGGAAGATAATCCTTCCGGACGGGTCATTGTTTATATTTTGCCGTGTAGTCATTACCGGGTAGTTTTTTAAAATGTTTTAAAATTTTCAATCCTTCGAACTCGATTCCTCCGGTGACAAACAAAACCACTTTAGCTAAGTTGGATTCCATATCAAAAATACTAGAAAGAAATTTAAAACAAGTTGGATCTCATATTATCTTACATGTAAACCCATTGGCTAAAAGCGATTGAAATTTCGAGAAACTTAGAGTAGATTTAAATAGTTATATCAAAATTTGTATCAGTTCTCCCTAATCGGTGAATGTTTCAAAGACATATCCATGGCAGTTAGAAAAAATATTTGATGTGAAATAAATTCAAAACTTTCGACCAGAAGGATTAAAATTTCGAGAAGCGCAGAATAAATTAATTTAAATAGCAATACCAAAATCTGTATTTTCATTTCTATCTGGTGAAGGTCTGAGAGAGATGACAAGAGCAGCTAGAAAAATAAGAGACAACACAAACTTAACTTCTCAAACTCATTAATAATTTATCAAGTTCAAACAAAGAAAATCAAGAGAAATCGGTGTTTGGATATCTGATCTTAATTAGCATAGATTTTTACGATTTCATTTCTCCGTTTTCTCCTTAGTTTTAGTATCGATTGAGAAGATTGACACTCGAGACCGTGTTTGACTAATTAAATTTCCAAACACCTCGAAGTTCGTCAAAAATACTCCGCTACTCGTCATATTTTCAATTCTCTTCTCGGTGTTAGGAAATGAGGTCAAACACGGTATTTCGTGTTTGATATATCACTTAAAAATACGTGTCCTCTTCATGATCTTGCGCAGTGACACTCGTATCCTCCTCTGTCGCTTTATCCCCTGATGTGCAGGCGCTGTCATCCAGAACATCATCATCCGAGACATCCATGGAATCTGTATGATACGTTTTATTGAAGAACCCTTTCCGGTTACCACTCTTGGACTTGTCAAGGATTGTTCCTACTTCTATTTTGTCGACAGCTTCCTGAGCATCTTCTGGAGCTGTTTCACCTGAAGTACTCGCGCCATCATCTGTTAAATCCATGGAATCGGAATGAAAATTTTTATTGAAGAATCCTTTCCGGTTACCACTTTTTGACTTGTCAAGGATAGCTCCCTCAGGTTTGTTGATAGCTTCCTGAGCCTCTTCTGTGGCTGTTTCACCTGAGGTACTGGCGCCATCATCTGTCAAATCCATGGAATCAGTATGAAACGTTTTATTGACGAAGCCCTGTCTGTTACCACTCTTAGACTTTTCCAGGGCAGTTTCCAGTGGTTGGTTTACGAAGACCTCATCTACATCTTCAGCACTTTCCATGGGCTCGTTTTGAACCGTTTTATAGGCACCTCTTCCTTCACTGCTCCTGGAATCGCCAAATACGCTGACAACTGAAGCCTGGGAGTAATCATCGATGGAATCCATAGAATCGTTTTTGAAATTTTCGTTGTACAATCCTATCTCTTTAGGGCTCTCTCCGTCATCAGCCGTCTTGTCGCGTGGCACGTGCGAAGCCATTTCCACATCATCCAGTTCAACTGAGGCATTTCGAAAAGACTTATTGTAAAATCCTTTCTTCCGGTCACGTCTACTAAGCTTTTGACGAGGCTTGGGCTCTGGAGTGCTGTGAAGGTCTCCTCCCATGTGCATCTCAATGGAAACGACTCCCTGCTTTGTCTCGTTGTTATTGGGTCCCCCCTCACAGGGGCTGTTGAACAGTAGGTCCCTGGAGAGCTTCCTTGTCTGCTGGCGTTGTTCTGCGTGGGGGTGGGCCACAGATGAGCGTCTGCGTTGTTTCTGATGTTGCTGAGGTGTTTCTGGTTCATTTTTTCCATTGTCCTTCCTTCTGATCAGCAGATGGATGAATAAAAGGAAAGACAACACGGCCACTGCCAGAACAGGCATCAACACAGAGATGTTCACACATCCAGTCGTTATTTCCTCGCGTTCTAGAACATAAAATGAACAAGTCAGAGGAAGACGAGAAGCCCTGGGAGACTTCTACATGAGACAAGTGGGG